ACTTGTGTTTACATCTTCTGAAAAAGTAAATAAAGGTGGATCAGCTTATCCCATTGTGTCTGGTTTAAGAATGTGAAGTATTATATTCGGTAAGTTGAATAATTATATTTGGTTTTTTGATAGCAATATATTTACCTAGACAGGAATTTAACAGATTCTTCTTGCTGTTTACATCAAATTAATATAAAGTACATTGAGCTGTATGTTTAGTATGAACTTGAATTTGTTTCCAGTTGACAATTTAACTACTGGGAATGCCCCCTTTTTTTTTTTTTTGTTGTAGATTTATTTCTATGCAACTTACATTTTTGAACAAGCTGGAATCTCTGCAGAAAAAATCCCGTATGTGACACTTGGCACTGGAGCTTGTGAATGCCTTACAGCCCTCACCTGTGTAAGTAACAATTTATTCTACCTCCTAGCACAAAGGGTAATGACTCTTCTTGAAGAAGAACATTGGTAAATATGAGATCAATATAGTAACAGAAAATTATGTCTTGTCCACAGGGTTTACTGATAGACTACGCAGGAAGAAGATATCTCATCATTGGGGGTTATCTCCTTATGACCCTTTGGAGCATGGTTTTAACGTTCTCTCTGACTTACCAGGTGTAAAGGACTCATTTATATTACATGATATGACTATAATGAGTGAAAATCTGTGACACTCAAAAGAAGCTGGAAGATAAGAGCTGCATAGGTTTAAACAGCAGCATAAAAAATGGCAGCAATTGAAAGATTTGATCAATTCTGCAGCCATATTTCCCTAAAATAAGAGAATGCTCTCAGCTAAGATTTGGTCACGTATTTGTCTTAAAGCTGCAGCTGCGTTTAATGCTGACAAAACTAAGTGATGACAAAATAGCATTTATTTTAGCTTTTAAAGTTATTTTAGGATGAAATACTACATAGTGATGATATTAAGCATCAGGGTCCACTTCAGTCACTTAATTGTAAAGCAAAAAATCAAACAATATTGTAAAGATGCTGACATTCAAAAGACACTTAAATGCATTAAGTATAAATTCACAAAAACTATTGGAAACTCACTATTCAGTGCCTTAAATTTATCATGCGAAGACAACATCCTGCATCGCTTTTTGAGATAGTATAAAGAGATGCATTGTAAATTGTTCTGTGTACCATATCAGCTCAAGTAAGGCAGCCCCACAAACCTCCTGAAATGAATGTTCAGAGGAAATCTATCTCTACATTTGCAGACCATACTATACTAAATATTTACCATTATCTTTGCGTAATCTAAGCAAGATGATGTAGGTGTAGTTCCAACAGTGAGAACTCAATTTAGTCAGTACTTGGTTGCCCGATGAAGCCTTATCTGACAAAGGCAGGATTAAAAAGCTGCAGTTCTTTCCGTATCCACGCCATCAGCATTTGGAGCTGGCTTTAAACAGGTGGATCACATCCAGTCACGATGCAGGTCTGATGTGTGGAGGGACAGTAGGGTTAGGGGCTGCACAGGTTGGCAAGCAGGCCACAGAAGAGGCACCTACAGTAATTTCTGTGTGGTTGGAGTAAAGTAAGCTGCTAGGCCAGGCAAAAGTTGAATGAGCCAGCTGTTGGGCAGAGACCTAGGTTTAATTATTTTATTGTAACTTTTGTAAATTTCTTGGTTTGCTTTTGAATAATTTGAATAATGGGATTTCAAGCTTAGGTTTGGTCTTTCTAACGCACCTAGTTTCATATGTATATAGTAATCCTAATGTTTCTTTACTGCACTATTGAAATTTATGTATACATAAACAACATGATGAGAAGTCTGTTCATGCTATGGAAGTGCTTAATAACAGCTAACTCACGGGATCAGTATAAAATACCAAAATAAACATGGACAAAATGTTAAACTATTAACAACACATAATTGTTATCTTCAATATTGGTGTAAATTTTTAGCCTCAGAGGACTAATTATAAATCTCGACAGAAGTACTGGACTCCATTTAGTAAAAATTATTAAATGAACAATATTTAATTTCTCTGAAGCAGTACTGTTAAATAAATTAGCTGTAAACAGCCATGAATGACTGTTGGTCTTAGTTGCAATAAAATAGCAAAAGGAAATGTAACTGTTAAGCCAAACTTTAAAACAGGATTATCAAAATTGGAACTAAACCATCTCATTCTCTTCTGTTCCAGGAACTGTACTCATGGGTGCCTTATGTGAGCATGACATCTCTATTTGCCTTCATCTTGAGCTTTGGGTTGGGACCAGGTATTACACAGTAATGAATGTTTTAAAGTGGTGAAATGTGTGTCTGGGGCCGGGGGCAGGGGCGGGGATGGCAGCAGCTCTGCTGTGTAAGCCAGGCAGTAAGTATTTACTGTAAGGCTGCTGATGCTCTGGCTAAAGAACGCAAGTGAGCCTGTCTCATCAGAACAGTTTTGTCTCCCATAGCCTGAAACTGAGCAACTCAATTTTTCTGGCATTGGAAATACTGCAAATGGACACTTAGCATAATAACCTATTCTGTTTCTGAAACTCACTCCCCCAGGTGGCATAACAAATACCCTAATAGCCGAATTATTTATACAGTCTTCACGTCCTGCTGCTTACATGATAGGAGGGACTATTAGTTGGCTTAGTTTCTTCACAATTGGAATGCTCTATGGTAAGTACGTATAACACATTTTCCTAATGGCTTCACCTCCCATTTAATCTTCTCTCGGGTTCCATCAAATTGCTTTTTCTTATACAGTAACACTTAAACATAGGATGCACACTACCCCTCAACCGAGTATAACTAGATTCACTCCCTCTTAAAATATTTTTTAGGTATCAACAAAAAATACTAAAACATGATAAATGAAAATTAAAAGGAATGCATGGGGGTAATTTTCATGTTCGGATTAAAAAAATGGAGAAGGTAACAAAACTAGAAAAACTTAATCAGGTATTGAGATTCAAATAACACATTTCTCAATAGTGCGTTGTGGTTTTTTTGTCAAAGTAAAGTAGAAGTAGTACCTGGGCTAGTGGTTCACATCTTCTCTGAGAGCTCGCTAAACTTCCATACAGAGGGTTCTGTGATCAGGAAGATTATTAGGAAAAACAATATAGGCTTGCAATTCTAGCTTTGTAATTTCAGTTGTAGCACTTACTCTTGAGAGCAAAACATGCAGGAACAGCACGCAGCAGGGTATCTTGATCTGACAGTCCTTTCTTCTTGGATGAACTCTGCTTCTCAATAAGATAGTTGTTTTTTAATGTATAGCATTGAAAATTAGTAATAAACATTCAGAAAAAGATAAAGCATATAATCTTAAAATATGCAACAGCTAAGTAGCAAATGCTGACTTGTCATTACATTGTGAATTGTTTAGTGTGTGTTTAAATGGTTTCTCTTTTTTTTTTTCATAAAAGACTACCAAGTGTATTGCACAGCACTTGGTAGTCTTTTATCTAAAAAAAAAAAAAATTTAGAAGTCTTTTTATTAAAAATATTGAAGCAGCAATATTAGGTGTGAATGGAAACAAAAAGCTTTTTATTTTCTCAAACCCACTGTTATACTTAAAATATGTTGCAATCAAATACATTTTATTTTCAGAATGGACTGAAGCAGTATTGTTTTCTGGTGTTCTTAGTGGAGTGCTCCTTAGTTGCTGCTTTCATCTTCCTCGTAATTCCTGAGACAAAAAACAAATCTTTTCTGGAAATCAAAAAGGAATATCACAAGCTTAATTTTGGAAGAAATACAAAAAAAAAGGAAACAGAGATTTATGAAAGAAGACAAATCCATGATGAATTTTTAAAAAATTCTGTGTAATTTCACAGCTGTAACAGAACTTTAATGAGCATTATGAACAGTGTCTTCTAAATTAGCAGTGTAATGCCATGAACAAGTAGCTTATTAAATCCTCCTGTATATTTAGAGGAAGTTTAGGCAAGTTAATCGTTCTGAAATGCTGCTAAAACATATATTGCTAAAATGCTATTCAATATATATTATATTATACATAGAAGACTCAATGTTTAGATACAACTTGATGTTGTAGGGACACAGAAACGCCAGGAGAGGGCGTTCAATGAATTCTTCCCCCCGGCAGATCTCTTCAGATAATTCAGTAGCTCTTCTTTTATTTCTAAGCCCCTTCCTCAGATTTGGGTAATCAAGCATATGTTATTGCTTTACTGAATAAAACATTCTGAGCTGTTACAACCCAAACAAGAACTGATCTATTGAGAAACCGGTATTTGAAATATTCTAGTTTATATATAAATTGGGGTATTTAGTTGCCATTTTTCACTTAAATAGCTTCTTTGAAAGACTTAAGGACATTCCTCATCTAGTCCTACTGCTGTAACTGTACAAAGACAGTACAGCACCTATCTGAATTACTGTTATTTGTAATAAAGTTTATTAGAAAGCCTTGTTTACTAAAAGGGTACTAATAAAACAGTTTCTGGGGTTTGAGTTTGGTTTATTTTTTTGCCCTAACCTAGCATCTTAACATTTTTCACTGTGCAACAGGGTAAAACCTCTTATATTTTTGAAGGTCAGTTCCCAGCGGACTGAGATAAACATCACAAAAAGCACTAAGTAGCAGAGAGGAGAGATGACAGGAATTAAATACATTTCACCTCTAAAGATTTTTCAAGATAGTCTGATATAACACACACAAGGAGGCTACAGAGAGCTCGAAGGACCCATTGAATGAGCTTTCTGCTTAATCGCCAACATTTCGTCCAGGACTCACTCTCAACTTAAAAAATTCTTCACATTTTAGTAGTCAAAAACTAAGAAACCTTAATTACATACAGTGTTTGTGTGCCTCTCTGATACTCGTTTCCATACCTGTAACTGCTAGGACAGTAGTCCTGCCTTACCTATTACAACTTTTCCTCGTTGTAAGAGTTTCCTGATCCCACCTGTGACTTAGTAAGTGCTACAGTAAGCACTGGATTTCTTTTATGTTTATCTTCCTTCTCTCAGAAGTAAAGCCTTTAATGAAAACGTAGGAAGCAAACACCATTTTTCTGATTTTGGTAACTAAATCAGCTGTTTAATTGAAAATAACATTAACTCTTAATGGTAAAGGAGGCAGTATCAGGAAGGGATCTTCTTGTTCTTTAGTTTATCCTCTAGGTTTGCAAAATATTTCATTTTGGCTAGAAGCTTCTTAGCTTCTTGAAGATCATCTGAAATGAAATAAAACATTACTAGTTTACAGAGGGAGGGCTGAATTTTCATTTTCAAAATGAATCTCAAGATTTCAATGACAGCACCTGTTTCAGTACTAAGAACTGCAAGTTGTAAGGACCCGTACACTATTAAACCCACACTGCCTATTGTTTTAATCGCAGATGGTTTTGAACATCTCAGTTGAGGTGCTCCACAAAACATGTAAAAACGTACAATTTAGAAAACAAGTGTGACGTGAATACCCTTTGATGACTTTTCTGTAAAGTGGCTATAGTATTGATGTAGCCAATGGGGAATTTTAAGTATATAGACAAGACAAACTTTTTAAATTATGTAATTAGGCCAACTGCCATCACTGAAAAATGCAAAAGCTTTGCGGGACTCTAGTACAGATAGTGTCCGTTCCAAAACTGATGTGGAAACAGTTTCTCCTTAATTAAAGAGTCAGAGGGGAAAGGTGGTTTATCACCTACTGAGAAGGACAGATATAACACAATCCTTAACTCTCATAGTACAGAGTGACAAATTATAAGGTCATAATTCTTCACATGCAGGCCTAGCCAGCACTGCTTTGCGTTTGATGTTTTACAATTACAACACGCTACTACATAAACCTAACAATAAAAGCATTCCAAAACCCAGGAGAGAAATGTAAAGGTTTCTTCCCAGAGCTAGTCTGGAACGGTTCAAGCTCCTGCCTGTCAACTGGTTGGGGAATAAAGTTATGTTGATCATTGCACAGGAAGTCCCTAAAACCTGAGGATAAATGGGGCATCAGGTCTTTTCTTGCCATACGGCTTCAGTGGTTAAGCAGCAGAATTGTTCCTGTCTTGACATACACTGCAAAGAACAGCACCCGCTACTTTGCTGACAGCTTCAAGTCTGCAGAACAAGATCTCCCAAATTCAAGTTTGAAACCTCAGAACAGGTGGTAAGTTTGATGAGGAAAACGAGTCTGTCCTTCCCAGTATGCTGGGAAACAAACAAACAAACAAAAAATTCTTAGCATCTGCATTCCCACTTGAAGTGATCATTTTGATGCAAATTGAATTCACTGGAACTTTGTATTGGATTTTTTTTTTAATTTAATGTGAGGTCCTGAATTTCCTGAATCAGCAGAAAGGTCAGCTTAGAAGTATTTATTCTAAACACCAAACAAAGAACACTTGTTTATGCAGTATTTCTGTTCTGTAGTTCAGGAAATATTTGCCAGTATGAGAATGTGGGGGTTTTTAAGCATTTATAACTGATAAGTATGGCAGCTAGGTACTTCATAGAAATAGCTACCTCTTTCAAAAGCTGCAGTCACCTCTTTGGTCAGTTCTTCTTGTTTAACTGTAAAACAAATGATTTCATTCACATTTTGTTACACACTTAGTATATTTAATACCACTGCATTCTGATTGTCTGTGGTGGGAAACTTAATTACTAGTCTCATAGTCTTTTGGGAGCTGAGAGAGCTTTCCATAATATTGCTGTCGATTTTCTTCTTATGTTATAATTTCAAACAGATATATTTCTGTGTTTAAACAGGTTTGCAGACAGCAATTCCAATGCAAATCAATGGTCACTAACTTCCCAGAAATCTAACTTACTTTCGGTGTATCAGTTTACCCTGCTACAGTCAATTTTCTTCTATTCTACTTAGTTTTTACTCTGGTCATTCTAATTGCTTTTGGCACACTACTGTTACTGCAAAGAATTAAATATGCGAATAAACTCAATGTTTTGGGTATCCCCAACAATATAAACAAGAAAGTTGCTTGTATAAGGATAATAACCAGTTAATATAATGGTTGCTAAGTTGAAGAAGGCAAAAGAAATACAATGTCTGTATAAATGAAGTAATTATTTGATGTGGCCAGTCAAGCATTTTACTAAACTTCATTTTGAGTGGTACTTTCTTTTAGACAGTCTGCTTGCCCTGACCTGCTGAAGGTTGAATAAGAAGTTTCTTTTTATAGTCAATATAAGCACCTATTTTGCCATCAGAATAGGTACTGTTATAAAGATTTTCTCAAGCCAGATTTGATGTTTAGGTGGCATAAATTGGTAAAGACAACATTGTTTTTGGGGGGGAATCTCTTGCAGTGAGTCAATTCAAGACTAACGCAAGACAGGGACACTACAAGAAATCACTGAAAAAGCTTTCAGAGAGACTCTTGTGTTACACAATATAGAGTAAATTAGTTCTGTACAAAAACCCTCAAATCATAAACCTACCTTTAATTAAGGTTTCAATTTCTTCAAGCATATCCTCATTTTTAGGCTCTGCTAATTTCTCATTAATTTCCATGATTTCCATGAGAAACACCGAGTCTGCATCACAGTCTGTCTCTTGTGCCGGCTCTACACCATTCAGCTCCAGCTGGTGAAGAAAATGGGAATTTGGAAATACACGTTCTTGTATCTATTTCAATGTGAATTATTTTCTTGACTATTAAGTCTTCTAGTAGGGCTCACTCAGATTCATATCTGATAAACTTCCGGTTTATTCCATGAAATGTGCGTAGAGTCAATCTTAAAATTAACTCCATAGGCAGACCACAAAAATCAGCAGTTAACTAAAGCAAAAAAAATGTAACGAACACTGCCAAGGGCCAGACTGAAATTTCAAAGGAACCATGGCCAAACACAACGTGCGATGCAGGAAACGAATCAGTGTAACATGCAGCAAATGAGATGGTAATAATCAGTAAAATGTTAAAAAAGGATAGTGGAAAAGCTGATTAATTTTCAGACAAGGTTGTTTTCAGTCTCCCTTCAATCCCTGGTAACCCTCTTCAAAGGAACACAAATGAGCACGTTAATGATGGAGGCAAGGATCTGATTTATTATATTACCACCAGCAGCCCCAGCCACCTATGATTAGTTACAGGAGTATTGATAAAATATGTAATGAACACCTTACTAGATAGAGGCCACGGCTCAAAGGGTTCAGGAGGGTCTGGTAGGCCTTGTTAATCAAGGAAGAGTGTTGCTCAGAGTAGTACTGTTCTTTCTGTGAATGGACAACAAATACAATACACTGGGCTTTTACCTGCAGAGAAGTAGTGTTCCCACACCAATACATGTGTGCACAACTGAAAGCTGGTTTTTAACAGAGATAGGAAGCACAGGGAGAGGGCTGTCTGGACTTGTGAACTCTGCCATCTCACGCAACTGAGATCTCCAGAAGCGCAGCGGCCCCTTATCGTCATCCTCCGCCGCAAATCTGTGAGCAGAAGTCTCTTCCAAGCATCAGGAAACAAAAACCGGAGCGTCCCCCTGGTCCCAGGACAGGAGCGCGGCGGGGACCCGGCGCTCTGCCTCGCAGGGCCGCCGCCGCCT